CTCCTAAATAAATCTCTTAGCCTCTGGTGTCCTCACTGGTAAAACAGTCACCTGTTAGCTGGACTTTGTAGAAAGCACCTGAAGGCAGAAACAAGTACCAATGAAATCTTTTGAACTGGGGTGGGGAGGGGGGGTTGAGGGGGTGTGTGTGAAAAATAAATGGGATGAAAATAAGGTATTTTTATTATTTTTAGATCAAAGGTAACTTTTTAGCAGTTAGCATACTAAATGGATGTAATTAAAATACATCTTGATGGACTTATCATCACACATACTTATTTATTTTTTTAAGGGGTGAAGGTGTTTAGAGCATCAGATTACCAAACAGTGACCATTCACTTATACGCACTGATTGTAAATGAAAATTTCTAGAATAGTGTTGGGCCAAAGAATTGTTTTGTGTATTGATCTCTGATAGACTTCTGAGAAACAGAAAAAGTCAGAAGCAGCCGGCAAGACTTCATTCATTATTTTGGTAGGCCTGGGATGGGCTAAGGGGGTATCATATTTCATTGCAATGATTATAATAGGATAAGATGTTGGCTAATATGATAACAGCATGAGATGAGATTTAGGTACTCTCAGGGGCTTGTTGGGGAAAATGAAATCAGTCATTATAGTGACAGTTTAATTACATGAGAATGGGCCCAGCTGAGTACATACAGTACATCTCCTATAAAGCAGCATCTTATGCATTTTACCCTGTTCTCCCTTCAACTTTCAGAAGTTTTTCTCAAATTAAATTCATTCTGTATGAATCTTTCCAAACTCAGTTCTTCTATACGGAACAGCTATTGTTGTTGTTACTGTTATTGCTATTAAGTGCCATCAAGTCTATTCCAACCAATAGTGACCCTCTATAGCGTTTCTGAGTAGCGGCTGGTGAGTTTGAACCACCGACTCAGCTGTTCAAACCGATTTTGCAGTCCAGGGTATTAACCCACAGTACCACACCAGGACTCCATCGTCATTATTAAATGCTATCAAGTCAGTTCTGACTCTTTGTTAAGTGTCAATCAAATTGGTTCTGATTCACAGCAGCCCTGTATTGGGGTTCCAAGGAGCAGCTGGTGAATGTGAACCACTGACCTTGTGGTTCAAACCGAAATTCCGGTCTAGTGCTTTATTCCACAGCGCCACACCAGGATCCCATTTAGGGTTTCCAAGGAGCAGCTGGTGGTTTTGAACCACTGACCTTTTGGTTAGCAGTTCAGTGCTTTTCCTATATTGCCACACCAGGAGTCCTCAGAACAGTTATGGGGGATATCAATTGATTTCATTGTAGGAAGGAAATTACAGATAAGGTTACTGAAGCACTTAGGCAATTTGAGGTATTACCTAGTCATACCACAGTGAGTATGGTAAGATGAAGTCAGATCTGAGTTTGAATCCCAGCTCAACCACATTCTAGCTGCTCAATCTTTTAAAGGTTTCCTAATTATCCTGTTTTCCATATCTACTGTCTGCTTACCATCTTGGATATCCCTTACAGTTATTGCTAATCATCATGAGAAGACAATGCCAATGCCAAGTGTAGTCAGGCCCCCTAAATGGTTCCAAGTTTTGGGGTAATTTATTATGTAGCAATAGATATCAATACTGATTTTTGTATCAAATGGGTTACTTCCATAACCAAACCTTGAAATGTTGGAGTGACTTTGGAATTGGGCAGTGGACAAGGGCTGGAAGGACTTTGAAGAGAGAATTAGTAAAGTAACTGTTGGAAGAATTCTGGTAGCTTTGGGGGAACTTGTGAAGGAGCCCCACTGCTAACCACAAATTCAACGGTTCAAGTCCATCAGCCACTCCTTGAGGAAAAAAACGAGGCTGTCAGCTCCTGTAATGGTTTATTGTCTCAGAAACCCTATATAGAGTCTCTATAAGTCAGAATTGAGTTTTGAGTTTGAGGAGCCTGCAAGCAAGGGTTTAAAATGAAATTAGGGAAAACTTATTGAAAATGTGAGGAAGGATGGTCCTTTAGAAAGTCGTATAGAAGGCGGTGAGGAACTGAAGCCTTCTACCAACAGTCATATGACTGAGGCAAGCTTTCTTGGAAATAGATCCTACATTTCTGGTCAAGCTTTTAGGAGAAACTACAACTGTAGCCAACATCTTCTCTGAAGTCTTCTGAAAGATCTTGAACAAGAACCATGCAGCGAAGCTATTCTGAGATTCCTGAATCACAGAAGCAATGTGAGAAAATAACTGTTAATTGTTTTAAGCTGTTAAATTTTGGGGGTAATTTTCTGTACTGTAATAGACTAGTACACCAAGGGTGCTTGCTGTCTCTGGATACTCCTAAAGATGTAAATTCCTGGGAAATCAAAGTGTTTTGATTTCTGTACAGTGGGATACAAAAGATATGCCTCATGGAGTTTGGTAGACATTGCGACGAGAGCTTTATATAGTCCCATTTTAATAGTTTCACCAGCTTCTGCCTCTCAACCCTTCTCTTCACAGAAGGTTCAAAGGATTGTGAAATGTCAGATACTGAATTGCACTGTATAGTTTAGCCGTCGGCAAAATTAAGAACAAATAATAAAAATAATGAAAATTACAAGACACCCTCCCAATGACCTTAGACAAAAATGTCCTTTTAAGACATTAAAAAATGTTATTAAAAGAAGATTTTCTAGTGTGATAACATTACATTTGTGAAGACTAAATTGCTGACTTTTAAGCCTTGGAAGGTGGAAATAACTAAGCAAGGAATGTTATTCATAGGTATACTAATGTTGATGTTTGAGTTGTCATTTGTTGAAAACATTTATTTTTTCAGTATAGTGAATCAATCCTGTTTTGAATGCAGACATAGAAATAATTTCCAGGGAAATGTACTGGCGAAATACAGAAATGTGTATGGAATTAGAACAAAACAAACCTCCTGATTTTCTTTTCAACATTCTATAGAATTGTGAGGTTAAAAAAAGAAGTTTCTAAAAAATAAGTGTCTAACAAAAGCTGCACAGAGATTAAATATATACTGTCCATGGAGATCAAGTATTTAACATATTTTTTAATCCTAACCCACCCACTTGTACTTTCCTGGCGATCTTTTGGCCATCCTAGCTAAAAATCACCTAAGGGAATCAACTGAGAACAAACATCCTCCTCCCCCTCCATTCTTCTCAACCACACCTAGATGTCTCCCTAGATTAGATCAAGATGTCCTTCCTCCTCTTCCAAATACAGAAACAAAAGCTCTTCCTTAAACAGAGAGATACATTCGGATACTGGGTGACAAGAGTTGTCTACACCACCAGCAAACCAGCCTCAAATGTCCTCTATGTTTAAAATAGGTTTTTAAAAAAAGCTTTGAAGAGCCATTATGAGTACTAAATATAGTTTGTGCCAATAATAATGGTTAAAATTTAGTGACTACTTCTAGAGGGTTGGCATCTTTACATTTAATCCACAAAACAATCGCATTAAGTAGGCTTGATCTCCACTTTACAAACAGATTTGAAAAAGAGTGGAAAACAGTGAGGTGTTAACTTATCCAGGACACAAAGCTAGTAAGTACTGGCAGCAGGATTTGGGGGCTCTGGCGCTGTAGGATACACACTGGACTGCTAACACTACAGTCTTGGTGGTTCAAATCCACCAGCTGCTCCTCAGAAACCATGTGGTGGTGGTGGTGATGTGCTATTTATTTGGTTCTGACTTAGTGACCATGTATAGTGTATCGAGGCTGCAAATCTTTACTGGAGCACAAAGGAACTTTCTCCTACAGAGATGCTGGGTAGATTCGAACTGCGGATCTTGAGGTTAGCAACCCAATTCGTAACCCACTAGCTAAAAGCTTCTTCAGAAATCCTATACAGGGTCGGTATGAATCGGAAGCCACTTGGTACCGACTCTACGACCACCTAATTGTGGATTTTCCAAAACCGACTTCAAAAGAACAATCTCGACCAATTCTTAGTATTTTAGTATTGCTCAGTAAGTAAGTTATTTCCCTTCCTTTCTACTAAGGAACCCAATCTAATTCCAGAGGGGCCCCGTACATAAACAAAAATGACATGCAAACCAGAACTCTCATTTGACAAATATTGTCTCTTACTGTCTCTCTTCACCTGACATCTCAAGGCAGGCAGTCAGAAAAGGGCACAGAGGTTACCACCTTAGCATCTCAGAGGCCCAGGAGGTAGGAATGCAAATAGATTTTGCAAGTTGAGACTGCACAGTGTTATTGCTTCTAACCGAAAATGCTTGTTTGCTCAAACTGACTTGGGTTCCCAGAGTCTAAAAGAACAAACACAACTCAGCCCGGGCCCTCTGGAACTCCCAGGCGGCCACATTCAATCCGGTAAACAACACTGCTCTGACTCCTGGCAGGACACGCAGCAGCGGGGGACTGTGACCGAGAAAGACTGAAATATACACGGACACCAGCCTGGTGGCCTGGAAAAGCCAGGTGGACCTCTCCAGGGAGGAAGTGCGGGAGGCGGGGCGCGGTTCCCGCCTCGGTAGTGAACAGGGGACGTGATCCATCTATCTCTTCCTGGGGATGCTGCGAATCTTCGCTGCTGAGCCGGGTCCCCGCGGGAAAAGCAGAAAAGGGCCATTGCCACTTTAAATGACTCAGGAAGTGAAAGGAGGCCGCCTGACAGCCAAAGTTAAGTGGAACCGGGGCGACCGCTACGATCTCGCCTGGAGGCTGCGGGAAACTGAGCGGGCTGCAAGGCGCGGGCGCCTTAGGGCGCGGGGGCGCGCGGAGAGGCGGCCGGGCGCTGAGCCGGAAGTGCCCGGGACGGCGAAGGAAACGCAGCGAGGCGCAGAGCACTGCCGAGCCGGCGGGAAGAGCGCTAGCTCCTTGGCCCGTGCTGGAGCTGTCGGGCAGGCGGCAGCCGCGGCCTCAGGCCCTGCTCCTAGTCCCGGCGCAGCCCCGAAGGTCGATTCCTCGGACAGGGACCCGGTGGTGAGGAGACAAGTCAGGCGGCTGCGCTAAGGCGCTGAGCTTGGAGGCCCTGGGGCCTTGGCCGCGTCTCCGCACCCACATGGCCTCGGGAGTAGGCGCGGCCTTCGAGGAGCTGCCTCCCGACGGCACGTGTGACGAGTGCGAGCCCGACGAGGCTCCAGGGGCCGAGGAAGTGTGTCGAGAATGCGGCTTCTGCTACTGTCGCCGGCACGCCGATGCACACAGGCAGAAGTTCCTCAGTCACCACCTGGCGGAGTACATCCATGGCGCCGGCGCTTGGATCCTCGGAGGCAAGGGGAAGCCCGAGGGCCAAGACAAAGTTGAAGCTAAGGTGGAGATCGGGACGGAGGTAGACAGCGAAGCCGGGGACGAGAGTGAGTCGGAGGAGGAGAGTGAATCAGACGAGAGCGAGACGGAGGAAGACAGTGAAGATGAGAGCGAGGAAGAGAGTGAAGAAGACAGCGAGGAAGAAATGGAGGATGAGCAAGAAAGCGAGGTAGAGGAAGACAACCAGGACGAAGGAGAGTCTGAGGCCGAAGGAGAAACCGAGGCAGAGAGTGAATTCGACCCAGAAATAGAAATGGAAGCAGAGAGGGTGGCCAAGAGAAAGTGTCCGGACCACGGGCTGGATTTGAGCACCTATTGCCAGGAGGATAGGCAGCTCATCTGTGTCCTGTGTCCAGTCATTGGGGCTCATCAGGGCCACCAGCTCTCCACCCTCGACGAAGCCTTCGAGGAACTAAGAGTAAGTATTGGGCATTCAGAGCCTAGGCCGAGGGGTCAGGACGCCTGGCTTTCAGTCCGGTGACCATGTTCACTTTTATCAGCTCCTAAAAAGCCACTGGTGTGGCACTGTGGACTAGTGTGCCGGACTGCAAGGTCATTTGACCCGCAAAATCGGCGCGGTTCAAACCCACCAGACGCTCCTCGGAAACCTTAGACAGGGTCGCTATAAGTTGGAACCGACTCGATAGCGCTTAACAACAACAAAAGCTACTCAGCTTGTTGGGAGCAGTGTTCATCCACTTTTTTGGTTGCACTTAGAGAATCAGATGATAAATCTTCTGGCTCAAGAAAACTGCCTATGTACACAAAATTGAGTTTCAGGTCTACGTTGTTTAGCTCCATCAAGTTGGTTCCGACCCATAGCGACCCTCTAAAGGGTTTCTAAGGAGCAGCTGGTGAGCTTAAACTGCCCACCTTGCAGTTCAAATAATTTTGCCATCTGACGCATTAACCCGGAGCGCCACACCAGGATGAAACGGTCTTGGGAGCGGCCCACTGCCAGTGGAGATGATTTTGACTCATGGCCACCCCATATATGTCAGTAGCGCTGTGTTCCTTAGGGCTTTCAGTGGCTGACTTTTCAGAAATAGATCAGGTCTTTCTTCAGAAGCATTTCTTGGGCGCTGGGGCCCCACTTAAGCCATTTCCTATTACATCACCATTGTTTGTACTTACTCCTTGACTTGGAACGCTGATAAGGCAACCGTTATGCCTACTTGAAAACATGGAAGTTGATTCTGCCAAATGAATCCAAGCAGGTAGTGTCTCTACAGTGAACAATTCGCTAAAGTCATGGCCTTTAGAATACCTTCATCTGGGCCCTGAGTTCTTTTCGGCTGCTTCTTCATGTGTGCAACTAGATAAGAAAGGAGGCTGAGACCATGGAGGCCAAATTGGCTTGGGGTAGGGATTCCCGTGTCCTCCAACTTTTGCAAAGAGAGCAGAGCCTTTATCCTTCTTGGACCATGCTGGTAATAAGCAAGGCAAATCATGGGTCTTAACTAAATATTTGTTTACTGAATGAATTTGCAGATTATTTGCGTTTTATTTATGTCGTGAATATTTACAATTAGAGAAATTGCTGGAGTTGAAAGTTTGCGTGAGGTGAACAGTTCATTAGTGAAATGAACATTGTCTGCTTTTAACTTTGTTCCCTCAGCAAACTTACAGTTACAGGGACTTGGGGTAACCAATACTTCAGTAATGATGGTCCCTTATAGTAAGATTTGGGGTCCTGGTGTGGCTCTGAGGGTTAATGCACGACTGCAAAGTCGGTTTGAAACGCAAGGTCAGCAGTTCAAGCTCACCATTTACTCCTTTGAAGCCCTATACAGGGTCTCTGTGGGTCAGAACTGACTTGATGGCACTTAACAGCAACAACATAGTAAGGTTTTTTTATTTTAATCTGTATATTTTATATAAAACATACATTCAGATAACAGGCAAAAACATATGCATAGTTAAATAATTAGTTACAAGGCAAATTGTTATATAAACTCAACCCAGATTAAGAAATGGAACATTGTTAGCAATACTGAAGCCCTGCCCCCAATACCCCTGTCCAGTTATAACCATCTCCCATTCCCCTAGGGAATCATTATCCTGAAGTCTGGTGATAATTTCCTTGCTTGTCTATGCTTCTACCTTGTCTGTACGTGCCTAAACTCTTTTGAGCTTGACTGTTTTTTGTGTTGTATGCATTCCCTGGGGTCATTTTCTCAACATAGTGTTTATGAGATTCATCTAGTTGGGTGCCTGTGGTTTGTTTATTTTGTTGATGTATGTTGTTAAGTGTTGTGGAGTCTGTTCCTATTCATAGTGACTCTGTGGGAGTGTTGTGCTTATCCTGCCATACCACACTAGGACTTACATTGCTGTATAGGAATTCATTTTATGAATATGCAAGAATTTTCCCATTCCATAGTAGATGAGCCTTTGTTTCCAGGTTCTGGAGCTATTATAAGCAGAGTTGGTATAAATACTATTGTTCATATCGTCTGGTGCACATGTACATTCAGCTCCAGTGAAGATTTGCAGCCTTGGACACCTTAGACAGGATCACTGTGAGTTGGAAGTGACTCGAGGAAACTTAACAACAAAGTAAATCTAGGAGTGCCATTTTCTACATCAGAGACTATACATATCTTTAACAGTACTAAATGTTGCCAACTGTTTTCCAAAGTAGTTGTACCAATTCGTATTGTTATTAAGGAAGGATATATGACAATTCTTGTTTCTCTGTATCGTCACCAACACTTGCTATTGCAGAATTTTAAATTCTCAATCTCGTGGATATGAAATGATATCTTATTGTGGTTAAATGTCCATTCCTTTAGTTACCAGTGACTTTAATATAGTTTGTGTTTCCTTTTTTTGGTAAATTGCTAACCAAAGTTTTGATCATTTTCTATTGGGTGGTCTATCTTTTACTCATTAATTTATGTTTTTGTTGTTAAGTGCTGTTGAGTTGGTTCCGACTCGTGGTGACACTGTATAGGGTTTCTGATGCTGTAAATATTTGCGGGGGCAGATAGCCTCATTTTTCTCCCACAGAGCAGCTGGTGGGCTCAAACTACTGGCCTTGTGGTTTGCAAACTAGTGCTTATCCCACCACGCACCCCTATTAATTTTTAGGAACTTTTCACATATTTGGTTCTGACTTCTTTGTTGGTTATATTGGTTGCAGAGATCTTTCACTCTATAGCTTTTCCTTTCCTTCTTTCTTCCTCCTGTCCCCTGTCTTCCTCCCTCACTCCTTGTATGATGAGTGCTTTTATATGCTGTTCCTTGCGTCTTGGGTACCTGCTTTTTGTGTAATGGAGATAACGGTTCAATTTCAGTACCCCAATTTGAATAGCCAGTTAATCTAACATTTGTTACAGTATCCAGTCACTACATTGTTTTCCAGGATTACTTACATTATTTCAATATTTCCCTACCTCCTCTGGTGTAGCTTTGTTATTAACTTGTAATACAGTTAGATTCATTTCTCATTGTTTACATTTGGAGTCCTTGTTTGGTGCTGTGGGATAATGTGCTAGACTGAAAAGTTGGTTTGAACTACAAAGTTGGCATAGGTGTTCTTCTCACGACTTTTTTATGGCCCCTTGCCCTCGAGTGTGCCTTTACAATGGGCACTTGGGGAGAGGAATGTTTGAGCACATTGGAGACAGCTGCAGCTCACTAGCCGCTCTTTGAAAACCCTATACAGGCTTGCTATGAGTCGGAAACAACTTGAGAACACTTAACAACAACATATTACATTTTGGAGTCCCGGTGTGGCGCAGTACAAGGTCTGTGGTTCAAACCCACCAGCTGCTCCTCGGAAACCGTATACAGGGTCGCTATGAGTCGGAACCCACTCCACGGCACATAACAACAACAACAAGTCTTTATGCGGGCAGAAAGCCTCATCTTTCTTGCATGGAACTACTGGTAGACTTGAACTGTTGACCTTGCAGTTAACAGTTCAGCTCATAATCCACTATGCTACCAGGGCTCTTTATGCATATGTATATATGTACGTAAAATTTAAATTTTAGAGTAGTTTTAGATTTACAGAAAAATTACAAAGCTAGTACAGAGAGTTCCTTCCCATATAGATCACAACGTTTCTCCTGTTAGGAACTTCGTCTGTTAGTGTGGTACCTTTGCAACAATAATGAGCCAGTATTGATAAATTATTATTAAATAAAGTCTATTTTAGATTTTCCTAGTTTGCCCCCAGTGTTCTTTTCTATTCTGTTCAGTGTCCTTTTCTAGTCAGGGTTTCACTCATTACTTTGCATTGCCATGTATCCTTCTTGTTGTTGTTAGGTGCCATCAAGTCAGTACCAACTCATAACAACTGTATGCACAGTAGAACGAAACCTTGCTGGGTCTCACTATCATTGCTATGTTTGAGCCCACTGATATTGCCACTGTGCCAGTCCATCTCATTGGAGGTCTTCCTCTTTTTCTCCGACCCTCCACTTTACCACATTTGATATCCTTCTGCAGTGACTGATCCCTCCTGACAATATCTGAAGTATGAGAAACAAAGACTGGCCATCCTGGCTTCCAAGGAGCACTCTGGCTGTATTTCTTCCAACACAGATGCTTGGTGGGTTTTAAGCACTGACTTTTTGGTTAGCAGCCCGATGCTTAATCTACTGTACCACCAGGGCTCCCTAAATACAAAAGAGTATTACTAAATACAGTATACTGTGTGGATGTTAGGATACCTGTGTGGCACTATTAGGATCAGCACTGGACTCTGAACCACAAGGTCAGCTGTGCAAACTTACTAGCTGCTCCTTGGGAACCCTATGCAGGGTCGCTATGAGTCGGAACTGACTCAGCGGCACTTAACAACAACAACACAAGTCTGAACTGACTGGACGTCACTTAACAATAACAACATATGGATGTTAACTTTTCCATGGATGTTCCCCCTGTGGGTTGTAAACTCTTCTGAGGCTAGGCTTATATGTTTTTCATCTTTATGTTCTCAGCACCAGCACAGTGCTTGCTAGTTAGGAGATGCACATGAAATGTGTGGAGTGTAATCATTTCCTTTCCTCCCAGGGAATTTTGAAGAACTGAAAGAGGCAGTATTGCATAGTAGTTACATTAGAGTTGGAGTCTTTGGGTGGTGCAGTTAGTTACACTGAACTAGTAGTTGAAACATTGGCAGTTTCAACCTACTCAGAAGTGCTTCCAAAAGATCCCAGCCTTAAAAACCTACTGGAGTTATTCTGCTCTGCATAAATAAAGTCATTGTGACTTGGAATTGATGATACGATGCTGTAGGGATAAGTACTGGACTGTTAACTGCAAAGTTGACAGGTCAAACCCACCAACTGCTCCTCAGGGCTCAAGCGTTAACAACAATTGTGAGGATGCCTCAGGACCAGGCAGTGTTTGGTTCTGTTGTACGTGGGGTTATGATGAGTTGGAACCGAGTTGATGGCGTTTACA